GTACCTCTATAAACGTATTAGTAGCGATAATTTCTATAGTACTACTAGCTATTTCTTAGATAGCTAGAATTAATAACTTATCTAATAATTACTTAATAGCTAAGAGGCTAATTTACTTCTTACTTAGAAAAGCTCTTGTATAGGCTACGCGATTCTTTTTCTTTTAGGTCTTAAGCTCTTTCTATTTTTATAATAACGCGTTAGCTACTATATTAGCTAAACTAGATTAATATATAAGCTTAAGGTTATAGTTAGTAATATTATTAGTCTAGTAGACCTACCTTATAGTAAGCTCTTGCTTAGTTATAAAGTACTCTAGAGCTTAATAGTTAGTTAATACTATAAATAGTTCTAGATCTTATAGACTAATTAGCTAGCTTCTTTATTTCTATACGCTAAGAATAACTACTAGTATTTTCTTATTATAAATACTATAATTTATCTAGGCTATATTTATTATCTTACTAAAGAATACTATAAGTCTCTAGATACTATCTTTCTAAAGCTATAAAAGAACTCTAGTAACTACGCTATCTAATATATCTATCTTAACTCTTATACGTTAATAGAGAGAGTAGTAAGCTAGAACGTTATTAGCTAGTATAAGATTCTTAATATACTAAAATACTATAAGCTCAATCTCTCTAAAGGTATACTATACTCTCTGTTTTAGCAGCTTAGTAAGTAGACGAACAACCTAGCTATAATTCTTTAAGAAGGCTTAGTAGAAGTTATAGAAACCTAGAAATAATTAAAGACTCTTAAGAGTTATAGGTATAGGCTAGTTCTAGATAGTAGTAACCTTCTCTAGGTTCTTTCTAATTCTATTAGTACTTATAATTAGCTCTAGAAACTTAGTAATTTTAATAGTAAATTCGAATTTCTTAATATCTACTTACAATTCGGCTTTATATAATTAATTAAGTACCTAGATAATATAAGCCTTATACTTAAGAGAATTCTCTAAATAAATAAGAATATTATTAATATATACTATATAGAAATTATCTAGTAGTCTATATAGTACCTTATTAATATATTATTAAAAGGTAGTAGAGTTATTACAAAAACTAAAGAGTAGAACGTAATACTTATAGTTACTATATTACGTATAGAAAGAAGTTAGGTTCTCTACTAACTTATTTAGCTAAATTCTATAGAAAGTCTACTAAACGTCTAGCTTTATAAAGACCTTAGCGCGTAATAAGCGTATAAGTATTTTCTAGATTAAAGAGATAGAATAGACGTCTTTTTTTATAATAGTATTAAGCTTTTAATAGTTAACGTAGAACCTTTATTCTTCTTCTAGCTTTTTAGTAAATAGAACTAGTAACGTATATAACGCGTCGCTATAAATAATAAAGCTATAGTAAAGGTAATTCTCTAGATAGTTACGTATAAGCTATAGGTACTCTAGTAATATGCTATAGAGAGAACTATTTATTAGAGTATTTTCTACTATAAGCTTAATATTATAATCTACGCCTTCTCTACGTAGTAGTAGCGTATTAGAATTCTTTTTTAAGAAATAAGCTATAGTTACGCTAGCGTATTCTAGAGATAGAAGCTTCTAAGTAATTAACTAGCAAAGCTTCTTCTTAGAATTAGTAGCAGAAGTCTTCTTCTTATTAGTAATAAGCTAATCTACCTTATAGACACTAAGATATCTAATTATAACGTCTTTTCTACGCGCGTTAATTATAAAAGTAGTAGCGCTAATTATATTAACGTTAAGCCTAGCCTTTAGGCACGTTTCTCGTAAAATAGGTAGCTTTTTTAGCTTATAGAGTAACCTAGCAGGTAGGTCTAGATTCTTAAGCTACTTATCTATCTTATGTAGGTTTTCTTAAAAATTCTAGCGCTATAATTCTCTCTTCTCTTATTATATTACTCTTAGCTTTTCTACTACTAATATTAAGGCGTTGTAGTAATTAGCATTAGCTTAGTAAGCTGCTTAAGCTTTAGTAGAGAATTAGAGAGATTATATAGAGATAAACGCGTCACGTTTATAATTAATTAATTAATTAGTATCTAGCTATATTAGTATACGCTACTTATAGTTAGCCTAAACGTTAGCTTTTTTAAGTAGCTTATAACTAATTATTATATTATAGCGGCTTGTATTATAATATATAAAGTAAGAGCGTATTTAGTAGCTTTCTAGTACTAAATTAGCTTTAAAGTATTTATCTACTAAGCTATTAGGTCGTCTATTATAACTAGTAAGAGAGATAGGTTCTATACGCGATAGCTTAACGTAGAGGTATTTTCTAAGAGTCTAAAGGTGCTCTAGATAGACTAGAACGTAACTACCTACTCTAGTATTAATTAAACCTCTAAGTTTAATAGCAAGGCCGTTTAGAGATATTTAGTAGAGTAGAGTAAACATAGAGCTACTAAATAGCTTTTTACGTAAGTTTATTACTCTAGTAGATAGCTTTAAAGAGAAGACTTCTTCTAGAGCTAGGCTTTTTCTAAATTATCTAATTTATATTCTAACGTGTTATTCTTAGGTACTTACAGCTCTAAGAGCTCTATAGGCTTCTTCTCTAGATTAATATTCTTAATAGCTTTCTGCATAGTAGAGGCGCTTAGGTAATTATAGCTTATATAGCTAGATTACTAGTATTAGAAGTAGGTAACTAGCTTTCTAATTACTAGAGCTTTATTAGAGGTTAGTAGAATACCTAGAAGAGTAGCAGGTACGCAACGTAGCGTTAACGTAAGCGCGTTACGTTTTTTAACCTTTCTAAATACGCGAGCTTCTTCTTAGGCAAGCTCTCTAGTAAGGTCTTAAGTAAGGTCTATATATTAATTATAATTATAGGTATACTAACGTTAGTAGACACCTATCTACGTATATAGATTTACTAGAAGCTTCTTATAAAGCTTCTCTACCTATTAGTCTATTAGAAGCTAGCGCTTCTGCGCTAGGCGAGAGAAATTAACCTAGAAGCGCGCGAAATTAGTAGCATTTCGATAATATAGCTTCTAGAAATTATAGTAGATATTTAGCCTCTTATATAAGTCTCTATAGCTTCTCTCTAGCTAATTAAGTATATATTTATAGAAAATCTATATACTACTATTTCTTAGAGTATATAGAATTATAAAAAGAGTTTAATATATATCTTCTTCTATCTATATACGTATATAGGCTATAATAGTTTTCTTAGTATTCTTATCTATCTCTTCTATATACTAGTTATAATTAGCTTAAAGCTTAGCTTATAACTTGTCTCTCTATTACTTAAAGGTAACAACCTTGCCGTCTAATAGTAATAGAGAGTTAAGAAACTTAATAGAAAACCTCTAGCTTTCTAAGCGTTACTTAGTTACTAGTAGTATAGCAAGCGTATACGTAGTTAGATAAAAACCTAGAATTAAGTTATCTAGTAGTAACGCGCTAGACTTACGTATATATAGTATCTAAGTTATAAAGCGCGTTACGCGTTAAGTTAATAGAGTAGGTAGTATTTAGCTTCTAGAGTAGAATTATAGTTACGCTTATAGCTATTAAATCTTTTCTAAAGTAGTAGCTTTATTCTACTATAAATTCTAATACTTCGCGTATATAGTATCTTCTTTAGTAAGTATATTAGTAGTAATCTAGTAATATATATAGGTTTATTATTTAAGTACCTAGTGTATAAGTAATTAGCTAACTAATTCGTTAATAATTTTGTCTAGCTTTTCTAGAAAAAGCTCTTAGAGCTTCTTTATAGAGATAGAAAGAGTATATAAGCTATTAGTAGCTAATAACCTTAGTATTACTAAGCTCTTACGTAGCCGTGTAAGCTTCTACTTAAAGTTATTATTCTAATTTTTATTAGTTATCGTATTATGTTGCCGAATATAGAATTCGTAATAGTAATATTAATTAGAATAACTAGCTAGTAGGTTCTCTACTAGAGACTTAAGAATTATTAGAGTAAAGAGGTACTATAGAACTAGAGTCTTGCCTCTAGAGTTACTTTATAAGAGTTTACCTATTATATTCTTATTTACGAAGTAGAGGTATATACTATAGACGAAGTAGCTAGTTTTTAGCTCTACTAGCAGAGTAGAGAATTATTAGTTTTTAAAATAGAGAGAGGTTTTTATATATAGAAGTTCTATAGAAGTTCTTCTATACGTAGAGCTCTTATAGCTCTCTTTAGCTTACTACTAGTATAGGTATCTACTGTCTACTAGATTCTCTAAGAGGTCTTATATAGCGCTAGAGAGGTAAGTAATTAATTAGTACGTTAATAGATTCTTAGAGTAAGTAACTAGAGCTCTTATAGCTCTAATTCTTAGTATAGCTATTAGTAAACGCTTCTTATAAGACTACTTAGTTTAGCCTAATATTATACTACTATCTCTAGCTAAAGAGGTATTAATCTTTAGATAATATAAGAGCTAGCTCTATAGTCTCTACTACTATACGTGCGCTCTAGAATACCTAGCTAGATAAGTTAATTACAGGCAATATAGTCTCTACAAGCTATAAGAATAAGAGTAATAAGTAGAGTAGGTTAGGTTAAATTTAGCTATCTAAAGGTAAGAAGTAAAGAGATGCTTCGAGAGGCTCTATATATAGAGATATAAAGCGCTAAGACGCTAGGCTAGGTTACGTAACAAGGTTATGTAACCTAAGATTATATAACTAAAATAAATCTCTAAACTAGACTATTATATACCTCTAGAGAGTCTTATTTACGCTACTTTTATATGTAGACCTTCTCTATATTAAGCTTCTCTAGCACGTTATCGTAGGCGTCTTTGTCGCCGCTAGAGATAATTACTTAGCTAATAAGGTTAAGCGTATAGGTAGCGTAGCAAAGGCGTTAATAGATAGGTTTAAACTTATAAACGCGAGTAAGAGCTATAATAGTAGAGTTATTATTAGTAGCGTTATTAAGTATAAAGTAACCTATATTATTATAAGTAATATAATAGTCTATAAGCGTCTTAACAATTATCTTAGCAATCGCGTTACTAGTATGGGCGCCCGCGAGCTACGGTAAAGCGATAGGCAGGTCTCGTATTACTAAGGTATTAGCAAAGTAAGCAATAACTCTAAAGAAGCCGCGTTTACTACTCTTTATTATTTAGCTATTAAAGCTTACGTGTATTTTACTTACAGCCTTAGACAAAGCTCTAATAACTTAGAGCTGTATATAGCGGAAAAGACGCATTACGTACGTTGCTACGCTTTAAGGACTTACCTATAGCGCCGCCTCTACCTCTAGGTTAGCAAAACTAATCATCTCACGAAAGGAGGGTCTTGAAAGTAGCTCCATCGGCAAGTTGTTGTCGAGTAGGCACAGGACTGCGGCTTGTCAAAACCCATGTAGGTTGAAGTTTCCCATTGCATTAGCTGCCTCTTAAGAGACGCTTATCCCACCCTCTATCGCCTGCCGTAGAGAGAGCTGCCCGCCGAGTTGGCGTTGTTTTGGGCTATCCTTTGAGTGCAAATGACCTCTTTTTAGCTGCCCAAGATGGAAGGCAGCAGCTGAAGTAGCTCTTGAAACGTTAAAGGTGCCGCTGTTAACAATCTTATGAGTATGACAGTACTTGCATACAAACCATACTTTACTTGGGTTGTTGCGCTCAACAACACGATAACCGTGTTGAAAAATCCAGCTCAGAGAGCGCTTCTGTGTCTTAAGAGGTTTCATAAACCTCTTTAAACGCGCCCAATCAATGCCGTCAAAGTTGTCCTCGCGGGTGGCATCATCATCATTATCTCCATCTCCACCTCCATCGCTATCACCACCTCCAGCTTCAGTTGTAGCCACTGTACCGAGCTCGCTGCCCTCAGCAGGCCTGACGATCGCCTCCTCGGGTTGTGACTCTAACAACTCCAACTCGAACGTTTGTATAGGCGCGGTGGCCTGGCTCGCAGCAGCCAGGGCTTCTCGAGGTGACGATGCGCGCTGAGATGGACGTTGAGATGAGAGATCAGATGGACGCGTACGTTTGCTGGCGGCAGCGGCAGAGGTGGATGCTCGTGAGCGTTTGGTCATCGTGGGCAACTCAAAACACAAAAAAAAGCGTCTGTATAGGAGGAAAGGCGACGTCGAGTAGGGCAGGATGTGCGCGCACGGAGATGAGAGGTAGAAGTAAGAGCTAATACGAGTTAGGACAACCCCTGCTAGAAAAACTCAACACCAAAAAACTCGCTCTATGTAAGTCCTCCTGCAACTCTAAAAACCTCATACATCTTACAAAACAAGCAATCTAGATAATCAATTCAATCTATTTTCATAGGTTCAGCTTGAATTGATTGCAAAATGCACCCAATTTGTATAGGACTAGATTGACTTGAATGAATTGGGTTTTGCAATCAATTCAATCAATCTTATCAACCCAGATGGCTTGTTGCGGACTCTGGCAATGAGCACCGTCACTGAAATCGAAGATGAGTCCCAGTGTGTCGCTATAAGGTGTCTATTGTTCTGAACCTAATGTTCCTTTAGGGACGCTCCGGATTCCAATGTATCGCCTAGCAGATGTCCTTTACGGGAGCCTGAACATATCGTGGAATTCAAGAGGGAACATAACCGCTCGTTCTATCTCATCCACTGGAGGCAAAGCATACTTACGGGAGAGATGCTCAACACAAGCACCGGAGAGGCGAATCTGCTCACCGAAGCTTATATGATACGCCCTCATTCAACTGAGGAAGGGTATTCATCACCAGGCCGAATCGACGAGACATGCATATACGATGTGCTCTGGTATGACACTTGGCTTCCAAGCTGGAGGGTACAAAGAGCAACTCTGGTCCATGAGTTTTGGACGCACCGATATCAAAATAGACAACGGTGAGTCGACGAGTACCAGAAGTGAATTTATCTAACCAGTTGTAGAGTCCGATTCTATCGTGTCTCCCCACCCATTGCAACGGCCAGCTCTTGCGAATATTCTCCAATAAGAAAGAATTTTTGAGCCTGTCGATTCAGTCATGACTCCGGAAGATAAGAAACAAGGCCTCAGTCTATCACGTTGAACACTACGTACGCTTTGCGAGTTATTCTCTGTGGCAAAGCAGCGAACAGAGGTCAAACACGTCTAATTAGATATCTTTACTGTGAAACGAATCCTCCTTTGACTTTACTACTGTATGTTTCCATTGTGCTTCCCGCTTCGGACGTGACGTATTAGATAGCTCTCTGAACACCATCTCCGTACATTCTAAACAACCAAAGTCTCCATAACTGGGCTCTTCGCAGCTACAATAAACTCCCTGGGTAAGCGAGCTATCAGTCTAAGAGGCCGTTAGCTAACGAATAAATGTAGCCATGCATAATTACCGAGACGTTTGACCGTTTCCCAACAGGACCGGTGGGATCGGAATTCTTGGAAAAGGGCATGGTAAATCGAAATATCGATTGGTTGCTGAAGTCGATCAGCTTTGAAGTGGAATATCCAAGTGGCAAGAATGTACCGTAGAACGCAGTTCTTGCTATCGCCTCGTTAGACTAATCTGCTTATCCTTCAAGTACCTTGAGGTTTTCCGAGTGTCAGGTTTAATTTCTATAATAAAAAGCCTGCGACTAGTTTCATCTGATCATCCCCAGTGGTTTAGCTAAGCGGCTCCGTCATCCCAAGTAGTTTCGCCATCCCAGGTGGTTTGGCCATCCCAGGTGGTTTCGTCATCCCTACGGGGACCTAAAAGGCTCTTAAGAGACTAGACTCTATCTCTGACGTTTCCCGATACAATAGGTGAACTGCGGGCAGTGTTGCGGAACCTCCGAATGCGATATGCGTGGCAATCCGACCCCATCGGTCTGCTGGATGGCTCCGCCAAATGCGAAATAGGGATAATACAGCGAGCACCGTTACTATTGCTACGTAGGCTCGTTGTGTCCCGTACTCGCATCGGAAGGAAAATATTATGAGCGACATAGAGGAGGCCCAAATAACGGTGACGATTCCGAGGTGGTCGATTCGTTGCCACAAGCTTGCTTGGGCGTGATTGGCGAACAAGTGATAGAGTGTGGAGAACGAAAAGCACGAAGTAGCTGCCACAAGATAGCGGAGAATTATTCTCGCATCTCCGGGAAGTGGATTGGGACAGCTGAGAGTAAAACGAACCGCGCTGGCGGAAAATAAGAGTGCACCAATAAAATGTGACCAAACATTAAATGTCTCATCGTTGAGGGCTCCGATGGATTTTGCGCAGTCAAGATACGAATCTGACTGAAGCCGTCGTTTGCTAAGTGCGCCAAAGCGGGGATTTCTGCCTATAGGCATCGCAAAAACGAGAATTGTGGAAGATCATGTTTGAAAGTTTCCTAAACAAGCGTGTTTGCATATTATACGCACGTGTATACGTACCGAATGGTAAACCGTAAAGCTGATTGCACATATGAGCATCCAACGTGATTTCTCTTAATAAGTCTAACGTGGTTTCGTGGGCATTCCCAACAAAGATGGTCAGATTTGTGCAGAGTTAAGTCCCCCGTTATAGTAGTGTTCGCCAAAGGAAACTTGGTCCCCAACGCCATTCTGGCTGAAGCTCCCATCTAGTCCCGTTGTGAATGGGTAGTTGTTCCCAGAACTCGCCGACCCGTCGAAGGAGCTCATGTAACTAGCGTCACCGTAAAGATTGGTGTAGTCATGCGATGGGGAGGTCAACAGCGTTCGTTCCGGCTTTGCGTGCCTATTGAATGTTACTACACTCCTGTAACAGTTCTCCAAGCACTAACCTGAATAGAAGTGCCCAACAGAATGCGTGTTGTTTCTGGTCAAGGCGCAACGTGCAGAGCCAACACGATATCGCATCAATGCTCGAAGGGGAGTCTACCAGGTCCCAGAGGTCTAGTATCGCCTTGATCTTTGCTCGTACGCCGCCTGGGGTTCGGGGTTTTTTTCCTGGGATCCACTGATGGAGTTTCTCTATAATCTCAGGAGAGGAGCATTGCTGTGAGCGAAGTATGATAACAATGGCAACCTCAAAATCAGTCCACTTGGCCATTTTCACAAAGTGGCGGTACGGTTTTGCTGCATGCGTAGCGTGTGGGTCCGCAAGTGTTACCGTTGGCCGTAGGCGTTGGCTTTTAAATATTGACGTTGTCAGATCTATTCCAAGCTGGACGACCGCGCCTCATTTTCCACAGAGAACACTCCGAACCTGGGCCGCGGATCGAGTTTCTAAATCGGGAATACCAGGGCTTTTTAACCGCTGAAAAACGCTACAATCCTGTCCATCCACCCTCTCATTTATCGCAATCATGCATTTCGAGCAGTGCGAGGTCGACATCTTATATCAGGTCCTGCAAGAGCATACGGAGGGAGAGAGCTGGGTTTCCATTCTCAAAAAGTACAACAGCCAAGTCCCCGAGAAGAGGAAGAGATCAAGCAGCAGTCTTCAAGGCAAATGCAGGTTGATGGGTTTTAAAATACCTGGGCGCCAGAAAAGAAAGTGTAAAGAAAGACAACGATCCGATAGAAGTGCCGAGCGTAGTCAGGAAACCAACCATGCCGATACTCCACTGTGGCAGCAGAATGTGAGCGAACAATTTTTGAACTCTCTCGCTCCATTTGTGAGCTTACCACAACACTACATTCAGCCTGTAGGTTACCACCATTGATAACAACAATAACAGCTAACGAAACCCGTAGTGGTATCCCCTTGGACCGGACGAGAATGCTGACCACATATATTGGGATCCGCATATATGGTCAACCGTACTAGACTGGTCCTCTTTCGATGAGTATCCAACCGGAAACGATGTAGTATTCCCTGCAGAGGTTGTCGCCGAGGCGGATTATTTTCCAAAGAATCTGTCATGTGACTGATAAACGATGTATTTAAGCATCTATTCGTGCCCGCTTTCCATGCCATAATTCTTTACGATGTCTTCCACTCATTCCGAAACCTTCACTGAGATCGATATGAGCGGGGCGTGCCTGTAGGGCTCTCTTTCCAAAACTGGCCAATTGAAAACTGATCATGCAGGTCTGGTCAAGGCTCCCATATCTTCACTGAGCCGCACCCTAGTCATAAACTGTCACCAGAGCGCATCGTTCGATACACACAGACACGACAACAATGTTTGTATCTTGTTAGATGGGAGCATTCAGTGCTTACACACGAACACCTTCGCGGCCCGATTCTCGACAGCGTCTTCAAACTCCGGCCTCCTTTCTCGGACAAGTGGCTCCGAGCGCACCCAGGCCTGGTCATTCCAGAAGCACTATGTTACGAGGTACAGTGGAAGGATACATGGGTGGAACCTTACAACATGTTCCACCACGGCAACCTTCTTCATGCTTTTTGGAGTCAACCTTACCGGAAATTCGGCAAGTATGTCATCCGACTTCGGCATGATGTCTGAAGCTAATGGTGGCGTAGAGTATCAGTGGGTTATGACATGTAGTTGCCTGCCTCGGTAGTTAGCCTTACAATGTCATGCATGTCGATCTATGTCAGATACGATGATGCTACGTTACACAACGATTCGTCCGGCGTTGATAAGATCACGTGATTCACTAACTGTATTTAACCACAATCGCATACGGCATCTGCTGACACTGTCATGTGACCTGCGAACTATATCTAATCGGCCCACATATTCTACGCCGCATGCTAACGCTCATCAGAACCGCAAGAGGACGAACGTTACCCCGCTATCCCCAGTTTACCGAATCCACACCCAGTTTTCTTGTAAAGATTAGATAGATTGTGGGTGACCTATGTAGAAAGGACCTATCTAAGGTACATAATATAAAGGTACCAATGTAGGTACAGCCCTGGGGTGGCTCTTGTCACGTGTCATAAGGAAGACATCGGGAGTCGCATGATACAGATCGATGGAGTGTAAGCTGGTAATCTGTCAAAGGGCGTTGGCATGGGGTGTTGACATAGGGCGTATTTTCCTTGTATAACGCGTGTCAAGAGGCACGGGACGTTGGCATTGAGGCCATTGGTATGGACGTTGGTATTGGCGTCGGCATGAGCGTTGGCGTCGGCATTGGTATGGGGCGTTGGCATGCACGGGGCGCAGCAGACGCGCTAGCCGTCCTGCCGCAGGCTGCCAAGTAGAATAAGCACCACCGCTAGACGTCCTGCCGCCCTCATGCAATGAATGCCCAAGCAGAATAAGCGCCACTTTTGCAGTACGTAACGTTAGGCAAGGTTTTGTATACAGAAGTTGCTAACGGTTTCTGGGAGCAAGTGCGCCGAAGGTAGACATGTTTAACTGCAAACTACTTGATATTTGTTGCCAGGCGCGTAACGTCCTACTTGCGAGCCCGTTTTCTCGTTTGGCTTGGACGGATCCACACTCCATCAGATCCCTTGCTGTATCCGAGGCTCACGAGCTCGGCCTCCGCGGTCTCGCAGCGTTGATTCAAGATTAGAACCTTTTGATGCAGCTGATTGATTTGTTCCATCCCGTCCGATTCGACTCCGAATGGAGCCTCTGTTGCTGGTGTACCCGCACAGCCTTCCTCCTTTGTGGTTTTACCACGCTCAGCTTCCAGCTCCAGTTTGAGTCGGAGGACTTGGTTCGACAAGTGGGAATTTCGCGCCAAGGTATCTTGTTGCAACGCCGCGTTGTGATTGATGCTGTCTTTCAAGCCCTGGATCAGGGAAGTCTGCTCTTGCAGACGACGCCGACCCCTGTGGATGTACCACGCTGCTGTATACAGGTTTTGTTGTAGCTGGGCGTCGTCGGACTGGGAGACAGTTAGAACCAGCTTTGTGCTGCTCGAACTTGCCTTGTGTACCTCGAATTGCTGGTTGCTGGAAGCAGACATGATAGAGATGTGTGCAAGATAGAGCTGTATGCAATGGGCAACGCCGTCTGTAGTGTGTTGTAGAGAAATCATAGATGCGGACAGCGCATTCTTATAAGGTCGGTGTGCTCATACTGAATGTTTGTCACGGCAGATTAGAAGCATCTTACGGGTTATAAATAGAATGGAATAGCACGGTGGAAGCGTTGGAAGCGTTGGAAGCGTTGGAAGCGTTGGAAGCGTTGGAAGCGTTGGAAGTGCAGCCTATACAGAATGGGCAGGCGGACAGCGCCTCCCCTTTTTGCCCCCGCATGACGTCAGGCAAAACTCACAATCAGGATATGCTCTCGTGGCAGTGTTGAAGTCAAAATCTCCGCAATGTAGTGCGCTTGGTCACAGAGGCGGTGGATAGGTACGGTAATGATGATGGTGACCTTCGCAAGCGACGCCTCCCTCCAATACAAAAAAAAGCCTCCACTTGAAGTAAGCGAACTAAATATATCTACAGACAAATCAGTATTGCCGTTAGGGCGTTATAAATGCAAAACTAAAACTCCTGTTTCCCTCAGTCGTTATTGCCGCCAAGGCGCTATCTGAAATGTCAGACTAAACACTATATCAGGGAAAACTACCTTCCTCGATCGTCTAAACGTCCACCAGGACATCCAGCGTCATCGTCCTCCTCGCCTCCTCACCTTCCTTCCCAAAATACCTCCCTGACGCGAAACTCCAGTGCAAGTTCGCCTTAACCTGATCCAACAAGCCGTCAAGATACCGTTGAACCTGGATATCGACGTGTTTGCCAAAGCTTGGTAGATGCTGTTGTGTCCAGTACCATCGCTGCACAGCTTGTTTGAGAAGTTCACCTACGAAGTTGAAGGATTCCTGGAGCGTAAGTTTGCGTTCGCGTTGCAGGATGTAAATTATGTTGTGAGGCACGGCTTCTAGCTCGGCCTGCTCTTTGCGATAGGAGAAGATGTCGTTGTGCCTAGTGGAACCTTAGTGGCTGGTCAAGGAGATTCGACGGTAAGAGCAGTGGATGCGCGTACAAGAACGTGATAACTGTTGCGGTGTCTTCCGCTTCTTTAATCATGGGGTGCGACCAGAGTTTGGTAGGAAGAGTGATGTTGTAGAGCGGTCTATCGCAATTAGTTAGTTCAGCGCTCGTATCTCAGTGGGGCACAACATACTCTAACAACGCCTGGCACGGCTGACACCTGACGGAATGCGTCCGTCTGCGCCAGAACATGTCAAAAGTCGTCTCAGCATAACCCCTCGTGTGCCAATAGAACGAGTCCACCTGCACAATACACCCCTCAAAGTAATAGCGCATGCCTTGGATGTATCGCCCTTGTGCACTGAGGGATGAGATGGGTTGTATCTTTCTCCATACCACCTGGTACATGTGACGGACTGGATGGTCTTCGGGTGAAATGTCGGGATGGCCGTGATTGTGGATGGCCAAATGGGCTTGAACTTCGTCTCTGGCAGCCGCGGGGTCTTCACGGAGATTGCCCTCGTCAAAGAGGTCGTCGAAGTAAAAGACCTATTCCATGAAGTCGCACATAATACGGAAACCATAGGCATCAGCATCGGGGACGAAGCCACCTGCTAGCAGGGAGAACTGTGCTTTGCGGTGACGAGCGTACTGTTTATTATTAAGCTTTATTTTGGAGCACTGATTTTAACATGGGGTAGGCGCGAGCCCGCGTCGCTTACTGGATCAGTGCACTGGTTGACCGAAATATGAAACTGCATACACCCCTGAGTGCCCAAAGTCGTAGCGTCCGGTCTTGTACGGAGTACTGAACATAATATTGAAGATTCGTATCATTCAAAAGACGAACAAATCAAGCCGTACAGACAGCTCGTGTCGGAAGCTCTTAGTTTGCGTGGATGAAGAAGATTTCACAGAGATTCAAAAATCTCAATGCGCTTGGGATAGCTGTGCCTCTGGGCAGCCTGCAAGAGAAGCAAGGGCTGTGTTAGAGTACCATACATACTTGATACCTTGTTTCAGTTCCATCAGGCCAGCGATCTTATTGGATTGGAGTGGATGGATTCGAGGGGTCAATCCATCCACTCCAATGGAATTTCAATTGGAGCTCCAGGAGCTCCAGGAGCTCCAGCATCATAAAATATACTAAATATAGAAATCTTGGCAAATTTTTGGTGTTGACTAACTATGAGATATGTATACCAAAATCCTCCATATCGTCTTCGGCGTCGTCTTCGAGATCGTCCTCGAGGACCTCTAGCTCGTTGTCCTCGAGTTGCTCGGCCATTGTTTCGACCCCTTATTCATCCGCAAGGGCATCAACATCTTTCTGTGCCACATCTGATATGTATTGCCGCCACTGATCCCTATCACCCATATCAGGACGAGTCATACGAGGTGATAATACCTCATCAAAGGCTCCTTTATCAGGAGGACCGTACCAGTGTCGTAGGCACTCGTTTGCTTCAACGATTTCCATACGAAGTCGTGTGCGGCGTTGGCTAATAAGGATCTTGCAGCTAGAAAAGACTCTTTCACACTCATCACTCATTACTAGTATAGAGAAGACGTCCAGAGCAAACCAAGCGAGCTGGTGTTGAGGCCCACCAAGTCTATCCTTCCAGTATGCTATTATATCAAAGTTTTCTGCTTCCTTCTGCGTGTTCTTGATGCGTGGTTTCTCAATATACTCCTCAAACTAATCAACTATCGTAGGGTGTTCTTCGTCATTGTCAGAATCATCAGGTCGAAGGCGTTTGTAGTCAGCTGCTGATGTGTATTCACAAGGGCTTCGAGGCCTAGGAGCTGGTCGAGGTTGATAGTCCTCATCTGACGAAAGCTTCTACCATTTATAGTCCTCCTGCCACATTTCTCGCACGCGGTTTACTGTATCAGCCGTCCAGTGTTTTTTCTCTAGGTGAGTATCCCAGGCAGCTTTAAACCAGTCTAGCTTAACCGTAGGATCAAGAATAAGGGCCGCATAGTAGTATAGGATGTCGTCTGCCAGTTTAAAGTACTTCTCAGCCTTCAACCAAGCTTCGTATACGCAATCAGATAGATATTTCGCCTTACTAGGCGGAATCTCCTGATTTCGCCTCCTAGCCCTAGAAAGATTGAGAAAATGATTTCTGGCAGCATCCATTTGATCCATAAGCCAATCGAGCGTCTGAATGTGATCCCCAACTATTGTTTTACGTCCTTCTACCATAATTATGGCCTCATAGAACGTCTCAAGATATGTATGAAGATGTTCAATTGTTATCTAATACAAGGACTTTGGCTTCTCATCATCTTCAAGCGGCTTCGACCGAGCGGTCTTCAGAGCAACATATTCATCAAGGAATCGTTTGACACGTCTACGGAGGTTGAGAACACGTATAAGAGCAGCAAAAAGAGAGTTCCAGCAAGTCTAGTTCGGTTGTAGAAGCTAGATTACTATTAGCAGAGACCAGTAACAACCGGAGAATACTTACCTCAAGCCCATCATATCTATCACCAACCTTAAATACTTGCCTACGCTAAGGCGACGCCCAAATGTATCAAATAAGGTTCTAGAATAGTCCGATTACTCCCTGCTTCTTCCAGAGCTGCCGCACCTTCTTGAAATCCATATCCTGTATCGCACGGTCGATCTCCTTTGATATCTTATCAGAATCGCTTCTAATAATAAAGGCTTGGGCGCAGAGGTTGACGATATGGCCGAAACAACGCATTCAACGCTGCCTACGCTTCTTAGAAGTCATTTTAGGATATAGGGCCTTTAGGACAAACTTAGTAGCGTGATCATTCGGCTCTGCGTTATCTCCAATACAGCAGCCGAAGCGGTGCTTGATTTTGTACTCCTTTATCACTGAGAGAAGGACTGCTGCAATATTCTCACCAGTATGTTGGCCAAACACCTCTTGGAGAGCAAGAAGCCTACATTGTCTCTTGCCATCGTGATCAATGTAGTAGGCAACAACGGCTAGTGTCGATATGGCACTCAGTAAGGTCCAGAGGTCAAAAGATAAGTTGATATTACTGATTGCATTGGCCAGGTCCTTTATTACCAGCTTCTTCTGCATCTTGAACTCGTCCATCACCCAGTTTCGAATCGTCTTCGCCGCCACTGGTATATATTATTCCATCTTAGGAGCTACCCAGAACAATATCTTCCGGAAATACATATTTTCGAGCTGGAAGAAGGCAACGTGGCAGTAAACAATCCATCGAATAAGGTGTTATTTGAATATGTCAAAAGTGGACTGGAGAAGTAGCGTTTTCTGGCCAGGATCGTCCGGTTGCTGACGTATTTGACTCGGTTGTTGACCTTTTGGTAAAAGAAGCCCAGTGCTCTTGTCCATGTGGTGTTTTTCGGTGAGATGGGTAAGTGCAGTACTATTACCTGCGAGAACAGGAAGCTCCTAAGGCTGAGAGTGTAGCTCACAAAGATAGCAGTAGTAGAACTTCGTCGCATTCTCCCCGGTCGCCTCTTGCAACTACACATCCTCACCCCAGTTCCATATGAACGATCCGCGCTTCCAATTGGCCTGGAACGTCGTTTTCGCCAACATCTAATATCGAACGTACGATTTCCCGTATATTTTGAAGTTGACAATGTCCTGTCGTTGCTCAGAGGCCTGGGGATTGACAGAGGGAGGTGCAAGAAGGACATCATCGCTTGGGCGATGGCCTTGCTGGAAGAATCTATTCATATTATGGGGAAGTAGATAATAGATGGCGCATACGTGATGAGATTTCAATGTTTTGGTGGTAACGCGACGCAAACGCGACGGTTCGAGCTTCTATCCGTTAGCCGAACCAATCACATTCCGCCGGGTGAACCTGGCGGAAACCCATTGGCCGGCTCAGACAGGCACCTATTGGAGCTCCAGGAGCTCCACGGGGTCTAATCCAATCTATCCAACTCTAGTAGAAAGCTCAATCCAGCTCCAACAGAGACCTTGCTCCATCCAATCCACTCCAGTCGCTCCAATCCAATAAGATCACTGCATCAGGCTAGCCGCCGTGGATAGCGCGAACCTACTATGATTATGGGCTTACTCCAGGCGCTTATAAGTCATGAACAGGGTAATGGATAGGCTGGTAATGACGCAAGGCGGTTAGAAAAAGAACTGCAGGTTCAAGTGCCTTCGCTCATACCCCGTCAGCGTAAGCACGGAGCAATTATAGGACGGGTACGGTCGCAGCACTCCGTTAATCTATTCTGCAAGCTCACCTATCCACTCGCATTTGCCCTGCTGCGCGGTTAATCCGTTCCGGCAGCTCTCCTACCACGGTGGTATTTACTCGTATTCGTCCTGGCGCGCGTTTGCTGTTCTCTTGTGGGTCTTTCGGCTCAATTTTCAGCCGCTAATGTATCCGATTCGCTCCGCTGGAGTGGAAACTCGGCCATCCGCATGTGTCCCGTTGAGTATGTTCGCGTTTTTTGTATGCCGCCGCGTGAGCTATATAAAGTGCCTTAGGTATGTACCGCATACACTGTTCACCTTCAATCAGCATAATGTTACGATTACAGGATCGGGAACAAGGTTGGCCGGCCAGAACGGAGGAAGCGGCAGGCCAAGCCCGGGATCACGGGACGAGGGATCACGTGCAGAGTCACGGGAATGATCAGGGTCACGTGACGTGGATCAGGTGGATCAGATAGATCAGGACCTAATCCAGAGGATCCGTGAGAGCCAGGTCTTAGCACCTAATCTAGCTAAGATAGCATATATATATAACTAGAAGAAGCGTACTTCTTATAGCTTCTTATAGTTATTACTTTATTTAATAAAATTACTATAGAAACTTGCGATTTATAGTATTATTACCTCTACCTCTTTGTTACTAAAGATCTCTAGCCTAAAGTATACCTCTTACCTTCTCTTATAAAAGTAAGCCTTAGTCTTAGTTAAAAGAATAGCTTATAATAAAATAACTATCTAACGTTAAAGAGTAGAACTATTATATTAATAGTTAGAACCTAATTAGAAAAGGCTTAAGTCTAGAAGCTAACTATAGAAGAATAGATTATAGAACTCTAATAGATTATTATAGCGCTCTAGAAGATAGGCGTATAATAGGTAGAAGAGTTAGCTATAGTAAAACGCTAGGTCTAGGCTAAAATTATTCTACTCTAACGCTTTAATAGTAAGAGAAAGAACCTTAACGTATTTCTAGTAGCTATAAAACTCTACCTATAATATAACGCTATAGTATTTCTATAGAATAAAAATAAAATTCTAGAAGCTATAATAAATATAGAAGAAGAAGCTCTTATATAGGTAGAACTCTATATATTAGACTAGCTAGAAAATAAAGGTAATATAAAAAGAATATAATAGTCTATAGATAAGATTTTTAAAAGCTAGACTAAGTTTATAAAACACCTTAGAGAAACGTTTAGAGAAGTTAACGTATATAAGATAGTCTAGAAAAAGTTGTTCTAGCTATAATAGACAGAATTAGTATTCTAGTATATAGTAATATTTAGGTAGCTAAGTACTTACCTAGACTAGAATAACTTTACGCTAGTAGAACTCTTCTATAAGAGGCTAAAGAAGTTAGTTAAGAACAATATAGCGCACGCTAAACAACCTAAGAACCTAAGCAATATAATAGAAATAGTAGTAAAAATTAATAACTAGTAGTATAAATAAAACCTAGAACGTTAATAGAGTAGAAATTACTCTATACTACTAATAGTTAGAACTAAATAACTATAGACTCTATTCTAAGAGAACTCTATAGATCTAGACTAGGTTAAGACTTTATAGAAAGAAAAAAAAACTCTATAAAATAAGAATAAGATAAGATACTTTAAGAAAGAACTATACCTAGCCTATAAAGAAAAAGAATACTTTGCGCAAAAATACCTAAAGAAAAAAAGAATAGTTAAAATAATTTAAGTAAACTATAATAGCCTTACGTAGATAGTATACTATAATAATAGATATATAATATACTAGAGAGATAAGGTTAACTTAGAATAGTAGCTAATAAGAGTTAGAGCTATTATACTAGAATACCTAGTATATATAGAATACCTTACTCTAGATACTATCTAATAATATATTAACGTATAATAGTGCTAGATATACGTAGAATTCTATAATATATAGAGCTACTAGTACGCATACTAGAATATTCTATTTACTAATAAGAAATTCTAGAAGACGCTAGAAACTCTTAAGAAAGCGACTAGATTAGTAGAATACCTTATAGATAAAGAAGTACACGTATATATCTAGAAAATATACTAGAGATTCTCTATAAATAACCTAAAGGCCTAAAAAGCTAAGTAGTAGCAACTAAGATATATAGAGAGAGGTAGGTGTTAAGACCTCTTCTATAAGGTATATCTAACTAAACTATTATAAGAGAAAGAACTCTCTAGGCTATTTATACACAACTAGAAAATTAAAGTATACCTATAGTAGAAGCTATATTAGCTATATAAGAGTAACTACCTAGGCTATAACTATATCTACTAAGTCTACTCTCTAGTAATCTATAGTAAAGAAGAAAGAGTAGTAGTTAGAATAGCTACTAGTACCTAAAGACTAGATAGTAAAGAAATATAAGTAGCTACGTATATAAACCTCTAACCTAAAGAAGAAAACAGCTAAATAGTAATATCTAAACTAGTTAAAAAAATATATAGCAAAGAACACTATGCTAAACTATAAAATTAGTATGCTATAGAATGCTAATACTATTAAGAATAATACTAAACTATAGAATAGAGAGCCTAATACTCTAACTATTACACGCTTAATTATAGATAGTACTTTCTAGAATAGAAATGCCTCTACTATAGAAAAAAGGCTAGAGATAAATACGTAAAACTCTACTAGACTATATACTTACTAGAATAATACCTAATATATATAATAGAAAAGAAGTAGAGATTAGTACTAACTACTCTCTTAAAGTTAAAAAACTAGTAGGCTTCTAAGGTAAAGGTCTAGCCTAGAAAGGCTCTACTTAAACTATTAGTAAAATTATTACTCTAAAACCTAGAACGCTACGCGTAAAAGCTATATTAGAAGATAAAAAGTTTATAGCTTATATAGATAGTAGAGTAGTAAAAACGTATATTTCTACTAGCTTAGTAAAACTATAGAATATACTATTTTAAGAAAAATAATAGCTATACTAAGTATAACTTATAGATAACTAGCTACCTACCTTTAGCTAAGAATAGATTTACTTAGAGACTAAGGTATAGGTACTAGATATCTAGAGAATATAGAAATAATAATTCTATAA